CCTCATTATCCTTGCTAGCTACTTATCATTTGATTCCTTCTAACTAATCATCAACTAACTGACTCATTAATTGTTCTAATCCACCAACCACAAACGCTCTAAACTTTGACCAATTTGAATTAATAATTAATTAAGCAAAACACAAACAAATCAGTCCATTACTAATTTCTCCCTCGACCCTACAAGGCATGTGCATCCCCAATTTACAACAAATGGTATTTCACTCATCTGATCTAGTTTTTATTTAAAGAATGGTAAAGAAAGAAATGCAACAGAAAACTTGTTTTAAGCTTTCAACAAAAAAGTATTGGGATCTTCATTGTGTGGACAGATTGGAACAAAGTTTGACCATGAAGAAACAAAAGCAGGTTAGCACAAAAACCACTACGTATACAGAGATCCAGAAAGTTCTCTTGTTCATCCTCCGGCCATTAATCTTCACCTCGTCTTGATATATATATTTAGTGTGATTCCCACTCTTCGAGCAAACTGTAATGAACCAACATAAAAATAATAATTAATATCTTTATTTATCTTTATTTGCAATTAATATAGTCAACCATCCCATTTAATTCCAAATTATTAATTCACGTGAATTATATATGCAAGAAAAGATGTTAGGTTGATGTTATACCCTTGGATCGTGTATATGTAGTTGAATGAAATTTGACCAAAAACGAGCGATGAACCCTTGATCTTCCTGCACCAAACACACATATTAAAAGTTACACAACACACACAAATGTGAAGAATATGGGATGAATGGATAGATGGATGAGATTTGAATGATATTCACCACATAAGGAGGGTCGAAATCAAGGTTGAAATGAGGGTTGAGTTGCTTCATGATGCTAATAGGGTACTTGATAGGCCCTCGTTTCCTCGGTGGATACTTAGAGCGATAGATGCAAGTGGCACACTCACAATAATATCCGGTGAACTCCAAATTATTTTCATGGCAAATAGGGCATTTCCCTAATGGCCCATAGAACAACAAGTCTTGGCTGCAATGCAACAAACAATTGTAAGTTGTAAAATTAAGCAACTCACAAATAAACTTAGTTACTTACTTCGTCATTGTGTCTAACAATTTGAAGGTTCTTATATATAATATATTTATGATCATATGCTCAAACAAAGAATGACTAACTATCTTCGGAGAAGAGCATTGTTGGTACCGTAACTGACCGAGCAACTAGCTTGGCTAGATCATCCACGTGTCATGCTTTGAGAGATCATTACCTTAGCCAAAAAGGCATTACCACAAGTCACAACTTTAAACAAAGCAAGAGGAGTCCCGCATCGGAAAACTACAAGAAGTGAAGACTCCCCCTCACCTATAAAAGAAGATCACTCTCCACTTAGAAAAGGGTCTTGGATCTAGACCCTTCGGCTTAGACTCTTTCCTAGACCTCAAGACTGGGCTGGGCATCTCATTTGTTATCTTTATATTTAGGCCCAACCCCTTGTACAAATGTAATCATACATTATTATAATGAGAACATACTTCTCCGTGGACATAGCCCATTCATTAGGGTAAACCACGTATATCTTGTCTTCTTTATATTTATTGCTTGCCCATCACTTGCCCAAATTTTCACACACATGCTGAAGGTCATCACCTTCACCCATCATCCACCATTCCACCTCTATCTAAGTTGATCTCCCAAAAAGAGCATCAACAGTTTGGTGCCGTAGGGATATCACGATCTCCCCTAAGACCCCTTGTCGAACGGTGGGCAAGGAGGCCTCAAACCTTTTTCAAATCACCCTTGCGGAGCAGGAGAAGAGCCTGGCCGAGAAATTTTAACACCATTGCTGACAAGGGTTGTGCAACAAAAAACAGAAGTTCGCAAGGATCTTGCTGAACCTCCAACACAGACCTTGCTGTAATGCCCAAACTCGAGGACCAAGACCTTTGCCGAATGTTAAGCTGCCTTTGACCTTGCCGACTTGACCGTACTCGCAAGTGTATAGCTTCCTTTCAACCTAACATTGCCAAACGGCAGGTCTGATATAAAAGGGATGCGCATGCTTCTCCCAAAACCCAGCCCTTTGCCTTACAAAACCAACACCTGAAAAATGGCAACCCTTGCCTAAGACCCAAACAAGGCCTCTAGAAATCTTTCAGTCAATCCTTGCAGTTCGGCAATGGTTGAGCAAAGACTAAGGGAGACAACTTTCGAGCTCTGAAGTTCGTACCGACCCAAATCTACCCTTGCTGATCGGATTGGTTCATAGAAAAACCACCCTGACAAATCAATCTTCCCCAAGTACTTAGCCCCTTTTCAGCCTAACCTCACTGAACGGCAGGTTTGGTATAAGGGAAGGGCGCACATGCTCCTTCCCAAAAAAAAAAAAAACAAAGGCCAAGCCTTTTTGCCAAAACTTGCCTTACCGAAGCCCAACTCTTGAGCCCAACTCCAAGCCATGCTAAGTCTGCCTGGGCCATTTTTCCTCACTTCAACCCTCTTTGCCGAAACCCACCTAAGCCCTTGCAAACTGATAAGCCCAAACCACCTTGGTCCCTTCCCAAGCCTATGCCATATGGCCACCCTTTAAAAAATAAATAATAATAATAAAAGATGGGGCACATTGCCTAACGGCAAGGCCCATGCACCAAGATTGAAAGGCTCACAAAATGCTCCTCATGGCTTCCTTGCCGAAGCTTCAAGGACCCGGCCTCTACCAAAGCTCAACTCCACAGAGCCCAATCCCGACTTTCTTACTGAATCACTCTCATGCTGAAAAAAAAAAAAAAAAAAAAAGAGTCTTGCCTCAAGACCCCAAATCACTCTTATGCTGAAGCTGGTAGGCCCAAGTCTATTTTTCTATAAAAAGGTACCTAGCTACCAACAGTTCTGAGCTCGCACATTCTTCTTCCTCCTTGCCAAAAGCCTAGTCGAATAACAGGACCTAGGCGACTCTCGCTCAGCCTAGCACCTAGGTCATACCTTCTAAGTGTGGACGTAACTTCTAGCTTGCCAACTTGGGGGACTAGCACATATGCATTTCTTCCCTTCAGCACCCTTGTGCCTTCAACATCTCTTTTGCCTCCAGTAGCCCCTTATCTAACCACATCGCTCTGCAACATGCAAGCTTTATGTCACCTTCGGCACCCCCGTGCCTAAGCCACATAGCTCTGCAACATGCGAGCTTTATGCCTTCGGCACCCCTGTGCCTAGCCACATCGCTCTGCAATATGCAAGCTTTGTTTCGGCACCCTCGTGCCTAAGCCCATCGCCTTGTGACATACAACTTTGTGCTTTCGACAACCCCTTCACTTTCGGCACCCTCGTTCCAAGTTCTCTCCCTTCCAAATGTCCTTCTTACCCAGAGACTTGGGGACTATAGGCAGTGCACTATACAGCTTGGAAGATGAACTGTGGTGTTGCTCGGCTAGTGCACTTAAAATTACAAATCCCCAACCAAGAAGTACCTTCTTGCTGGCGAACTTGGGGGACTACTGTTAGTACTATAATTGACCGAGCAACTAGCTTGGCTAGATCATCCACGTGTCATGCTTTGAGAGATCATCACCTTAGCCAAAGAGGCATTACCACAAGTCACAACTCTAAGCAAAGCAAGAAGAGTCCCACATTGGAAAGTTACAAGAAGTGAAGACTCCCCTCACCTATAAAAGAAGACCACTCTCCACTTAGAAAAGGGTCTTGGATCTAGACCATTGGGCTTAGACTCTTTCCTGGACCTCAGGACTGGGCTGGGCATCTCACTTGTTATCTTTATATTTGGGCCCAAACCCTTGTACAAATGTAATCATACATTATTATAATGAGAACATACTTCTCCGTGGACATAGCCCATTCATTAAGGGTGAATCACGTATATCTTGTCTTCTTTATATTTATCGTTTGCCCATCACTTGCCCAAATCTTCACACACATGTTGAAAGTCCTCACCTTCACCCATCATCCACCATTCCACTTCTATCTAAGTTGACCTCCCAAAAAGAGCATCAACAAGCATCATTAGAACTAGACAAATTTTGGCCATTAGCTTCCAAGAATTCACATACTTGTTCAGTTGACAGTTCCTCCTTAGTTGATGCTTGGAATTTTTTAAATATAGCAGCTACGTCTTCTGTATAGAGGTCAAGTTTGTCAACCGCGGCATGTCGGTTCACCTAATCATGAGAGACAACGCAATTGAGAACGTCAAAGAGAGAAAAAAGAAAAGAGAGAAAGGAGAGAGGTGAGGGGGATGAAGGAGGAGGAAGTGGAAAAATACTCTAAAAAATTTAGGGGGTACGTGTGCCGGTTCACCATCGATTTAGGGTTTATGAGACTGATTTTGGATGAGGAAGACCAAAGAAGGTTGAGATTGTTTCCTTAGAGGTTGGTAAGACTTGAACCCTAATTGTAATTTCCATGAATTCCTATTATATGCTTAATTACAACATCACTATATATAACTACAAGGACTACTACACACATGATCTCCCACCGAAACCCTAGTTAAAACTTTTGGTATCTCTATACTATGATAAAGACTCGTAGTTTATAAATTATTACCCAAAAAAAAAGAAGAACTAACTGAAACAATGAAACCCCAAGAAAAATATTATGGCTCTAATTCAATCACATCTCCCCCATGCCCAATTTCTTAATTCAAATTGAACAAGAAGTTTGTAGATGAATTCCAGAATATCAAATTGCAGTTAACAATCAATCAGAAGCTAAAAAGTCACGCATGCAGTTCAAAAGAAAAACATGAAGAAATACCATAATTTGAAAAAGGAGATGCATACCAAATCTTTTTCTCACTTCTTCAGCTAAGGTAAACCCTTTTCTCAACTTCTTGACCTAATAAACAAAATTATTATCACATATAGAAGCAATTCTCAACTTGAATGCTGTATATATCATTAACCCAATAAGGGATTGACATCTGGAGAGAAGGATTAAATTAGGTAACTAACGGATTTCAATTACATAAGTTAACTAAAATGTTTTCTTTACACACGTAAACGTGCGGGCTTGGCACCCAAAGCCCATTGCTAATTTTGCTCACCCGAGCCCGCCAACCCGGGTCCCCCTTCTGCCTTCTTCATCGAATCTTCTTTGCTGCCCATTACTGAGCCAACCAAAGAGACCATAACCCAATTGATCTCCCTCGTTTTTGTTAACTGTCGGAGGTTTTTTCACCGACTAGGGTTGAATTTCAATCTCTGGTTAGAGCATTTGCAGAGAAGTGGCCGGATTGCAATCGCGGTTGAGGTTGAAAGGACAAGTCTTGGGTTAGTAGATTTGTTAAATTCTTGTGATTTTAGTTTGTGGGTTTAGTTTTTAGGAGCCATTCGGGCTCTCCCATGTTTTATACGATGTTTCTGTCCTGTTTTTTCAAATGGTTTTGTTTGTTTTTGTTTTTGTGTCTGTGCTTCTTTGGATTTCTGTTCTTTTATTGAATTGGTAATCTAGTACAAGTTATCAAGTTGTAAATTAACTTCATCTTTTTTATCTGTGCTTATTTGGACATACCATAATTAAGTGAATGTTTGTGTATCATTAGCTCCCAAACTTGATAACTTACAAGTTTAATGTAGACTTGTTATTGGAGATACGGTTGGTTTTTCAGATTGAAGTACCTGAAATTTGATCCTTCATTTGGAATGCTACCTCCACAAATAAAATGGGAAATATGTGAGTGAAGAAATATAATAATTAAGAACATGAAGTCATCGTTCTCTAAGTTTCTCTTCATATGAATAATGGAACATGATATTTTTCCTGTTCTGCAAAAAAAGTTGTTTCTTCTTGCATAACTTTGATGATTCTCTGCTGTTACCCGAGCTTATTTATCAAGAGTTCTATTTCTTTGTTCAAAAGAGTATATACATTATTGGTATACAATCCGTTAAGGTAATCCGTGATTGGTTATATTTATCCTTTCTGTACTTCAATTTTATCCTGGGAGAAGGAAACCCGTGTATTGTTCCTAATTATGAGAAAAAGAAACAGGCATGTCAAGTTCCTGTCATCCGTTTTTAAGGTACCTTAAATAAAGTTGTTAGAGGAATTCAGTGTTAACAAATTGTATGTACTTAAACTTTTTCACACCTCATATGCATTCATATTGTGCATTTGCTTTATTGTTTTGAAAAGGTTAAACCTTGTACATCTTATTAAAAGAAAAAAAAACTTATTTGATGCTTACCGCTGCTTAGTCTGCTTCATTTTTTATCTTCAGGTCTTGTTGAACACTTTGGTTATGGCATCTAGGCGCAATGTTCATTACAGCCCTCTTGCTACTGATGAAAATGATGATGTCTATGGAAAACCAAATGACCCTCGGTTTTCCTATACTCCGAAGTCCTTTGATAAAATCCCATGGAAATCCATACTCCTTGCTCTATTCCTGCTTTTTCTTGGATCATTGCTTCTGTTTCTTTCATACTTTATTTTCACTGGTCACATGGGAGGGGATCTGTCCCAAGCCTATGGCCTTTTGGCTCTAGGAATTCTCACCTTCCTCCCAGGTATGTCAAAAGATATTTCCATTTCTTTCGTTACCTCTACCTATCTGTTGTGACAACTTAAAGTTATATTACGGACTGACTATTTTAGAGTTGAAGACTAATGAACCAATTCAAAGAATAGGAAATTTGTCTTATAAATTGCCTTATCATACAATTAGAGATGAAGAAAATAAAATCTTTCAATTTGAGGAGATGGCATATAAATCTCGGATGGATAACTTCATATGACCTTAAATTCCCTTATTCGTATGTTGGATTTCCTCTTTGATGTAACTATTTCCTTTTTGTATGTTGGATTAAATCTTAAACCATATTCCTGAATCTGGCTACAGGGTATCTCGATGGATTAATTCTTTACTCATGGAAATACTCCATATTGTCTCAGTAGATTGATTGATGACTGACTGACTGACTGATTTCATATCATTCTTATGGCTGCAGGCTTTTATGAGACACGAATTGCATATTATGCATGGAGAGGTGTGAAAGGATACCGTTTCGCCTCCATTCCAGACTATTAGGGCGTTTTTGTCTTCAAACTTTACTAATAATGTGTATGGTGACATCTTCATGTAAAATCCACATTGTATAGAACACATGAACGATCCATATGTAACTTGTTTGCTATTTATTTGTTATTTAATGACTTGTTTGGGTTTGAAGCACGCCACGCTCACACATATAGTTCATAGTACTACTGGGATTGTTCTTCAGCCTGTAGGTTATTAAACTGTTTATCCAGCTTTATTGAATCAAAGACTAAACAGAAGTTTTTGATATTTTTGTAGCCAAATTGTAATGCTTGCATATTAGCGCATTTTTATTTTTATTTTTGGTCAGGGAATACTATTCATTAATAGTGGGAAACATTACAAATTGAGAAAACCCATTTCCAATGCAGCCCAATACCAACACATATAGCAGGCCCAAGAATAGAAAACCAAAACAAAAGCCCATAAAATATTAAACAAAGAAACCCTAGATCTAGAACATAGGAGCAGCCACTCATAGCATGCCAACAACACCACCAGAAACAGATTTGCCACCACCAAGGAGGAGTAACAGACACCAGGGGGTATCAAAGAGGCCAACGGAAGATGGGGGTGAGCAGGGCACCTGCGCGGAAGCTCTCCCATAATCCAAGTGTGAAGTGCAGGATGCACTTTAATTGCAGCCACGGACCACCACACACCACCGAGGAAGAACAACGAGAGCGGTGGACGAGGAACATAGAAGCAAACGGTGGTAGTTGAGAACAAATGCCTAGATGAAGTTGTTGGCCATGGATGGATAGCATCACTGCATAAAAGAGATGAGGAGAGTGTAGATGTAAGAAGTGGAGGGTGAAAAGTGAAGGTGGCTGGGGAAGAAAGGAGATGGAGAGATGGGAGATAAAGGGTCTCAAAGAGTAGGCTTAGCTTGAGGAATAATAGAAAGAAAAAAAAAACTAAAGGAAACCGAAGTGGAGGCAAGAAGCCCCAGATCTGAGACAAAGCTCAGGGGAAAAACACCCACCACACCCATTTTGGGTGGGGACCGCAGAGGATGAGGCAAAATCACCACGGAGGGTAAGGCGGAAACAGTAAAAGAAAGGAAGAGGAGGGAAAAGGGGGAAGGAGAAAAAAGGAGGAAGAGAAGGGGAGGGGAGGAGGGGCAGACCACCTCCCCCCCAAAAGCGGCGCTGAAGGGTTGGGGACTAGTAGAGAGAGAGAGAGTGATAATCAACTATTTTAGATGCTAAAAGGTTCTTGATTAGCGCATTATGTTGAGCAAGACAATCTTATTTTTGTGGGTTCAAGGCTTGAATCTTTGTAATAGCCACTTACATATTGTTGCCCAAGCTTCCTTGTAGGAGAAAAACTTGCATTGCACGGAGATAGCAAAACAGTGTTATACTCATGAGATGCAAATTCTCCTCGCCTTATAGATGAACTGAAAAATGCCAACAAGGCTAACCCTCTTGGTAAGAGACATAGGCATTTTAATGGCGGGCCTAGTATATCCAAATCAACTCTGTCATCCGAGTCGATCATGTTTCATAGAAATCATCACTACAATAGCCCCAAACGTAAGGTTTCATAGGAATCATCACTAAGAAAGTTAAGTTTTTCTTTTAAATAAATAATAATAATTAATTTAATGATTGGAATATATTCAGTTGAAAAAGATAAAATAAAATACCATCTGATGTGCCTTTTACAGAATTAGAATATATTGTCTTCTCATTAATAACTAGTTTAATTTTTATTTTTAAGTGTTATATTAAAAAAAATTAAAACTTTGACAGAAAAATTGCTAAACAGTAGAAAATCGAAGCTCAGATGACGAGAGAAAGGCAGCCAGAGCTCACTAATTTACTGCCCCCAATTTTTCCTCCGATTTGCTTGAACCAAAACAATCAAGCGAAATCCCCACTTTGCCCCTCCAGACAAAACCAAATCAACCATCTGAGAAAGCGAATTCCTTAGTCGTTTCAGCAAATGCCATGGGCGAATCTGTCAATTTTAGGCATTAATTAATTAAAATAGTAAATAGATTAATAGAAGATCGTGGCGGAGTCTGTGAAAGTCTGAAGCGAGAAAGAATAACGCGACAGGGCGCCCTTCTGCGTCTCCATTTTTCAGTTTAGACTTTTAGGGGTCTCTGCGATACTGCTCATTCACAATCCAATTCGAAGAGACCCTTTTCGCCTTTCGTATCAGCGACTTCAATTTCAGAGTTAATTTCATGTAACTTTCTCTCTCTCATTCTCTGTATGATCTGTTTCTGTTGAATTGCATGCTTGTGTGGGTGTTTTGTTTAATTGTCAATTATGTGAATTTATTGATAGTTTCTGGGATCTGTTGCAGCTAGGTTTATTGGAATATCTGGAATTAGACAAGTATTGGAAAAATTGGGGCAAAAAGCTATTAAGTTTGGGAAATTTTTCTGCTGGTTGAAGCTACTGACTGATTTATATGAATTGGGTTTTTCAACTTCTCTTTTTTCCTTTTAATGTATTCCCCTCTAAGATGCAATTTTTTTTTTTTTTTTTTTACATGAGTGATGTGTGGAAATTGGGGATGGGAGTTCTGTCTGAGGTGTTGCTATGACAGAGTTTTGTCCCTTCCGCACCCATAGCGGGTTCTCTTACTTTTACTTTGTAGTTGCAATTGTAGTATAAATAGCTTTTTGCCCTTTCGGTGTCTGATGGATTAAGGGCAGAAGCATTTCGATGTTGTTCACAATATAAATTTGCTCCACAAATAATCAAACTTCTATGTTCTTTATGTTTTTTCTGAAATTACAGTTCCAATCGAAGTCGCTTATTTTTTATTATTGTTTTGAGTATACACTTGAGTGTACATTTGTATACTTGGAATGACAAGTCTGCTGGTCTAGATTCAATAGTAACATTCCTGGTGCAATTGTAAATCTCGTCTTCCAAAATGTATCGGTGTTTGCACTCTCTTGCATGTTTATCTGAGTTTTTTTAATTTATAATCATGCCTTTAGATTAGGAAAATGGATGGATCGGTTGGCCGTGGGGGCAGCAGTGCGGATGTTTATTTACCCAATTACAAGCTTGGAAAAACTCTTGGTATTGGTTCTTTTGGAAAGGTCAAGATTGCAGAGCATGCATTAACTGGCCATAAAGTTGCCATCAAGATCCTCAACCGGCGCAAGATAAAGAACATGGAAATGGAAGAGAAAGGTCAGCCTCTCTCTTTGTGAACAATGGTTGAATTTGATTACTTGTCTTTTTTCTATTTCAGACAGTTCTGTCTTGAATTCAAAGTATAAACCTTTGTACTGTACTTGTTTTTCCCTTCCTTTTTCACCCTTAAATTTTGGTGCAGTGAGAAGAGAGATCAAAATACTGAGACTGTTTATGCATCCTCACATTATACGACTCTATGAGGTCATTGAAACACCATCAGACATTTATGTTGTGATGGAGTATGTGAAGTCCGGGGAGCTCTTTGATTATATAGTAGAGAAGGGTAGGCTGCAGGAAGATGAAGCTCGTAACTTTTTTCAGCAGGTTATTTGGCAATTGTCTTGTTCTCTTTCTTCTACCATTAGTTTTGCTTCTCATATGAGTTACATAAGGCCAATATTTTTTCCTGAGGCAGATAATCTCGGGCGTAGAGTATTGTCACAGAAACATGGTTGTTCATAGAGATCTAAAGCCCGAGAATTTGCTCTTGGATTCCAAATGCAATGTGAAGATTGCTGATTTTGGTTTGAGCAACATAATGCGTGATGGCCATTTTCTCAAGACAAGTTGTGGCAGCCCAAACTATGCTGCTCCAGAGGTATAAAGACTGTGGTTAGATGGCCTTTTAGTAATTTTTAAATAGGAAATTTAAATAGATTATTCTTTTATCATGGCTTGATTTCTATCTCCAATGTTTCATCTCTTTCATCTTTTGTAGGTCATTTCTGGCAAACTGTACGCTGGGCCTGAAGTGGATGTGTGGAGTTGCGGAGTCATACTATATGCTCTTCTTTGTGGCACCCTTCCATTTGATGATGAAAACATTCCCAACTTGTTTAAGAAAATAAAGGTACTTCCAGATCTCGTTCCTTTGTTTAATATAAAAGTAATCTTATCTGATTATTTTCCTTCCGTTTCAAATTTTCTTGAGATGCAAGTATGTTTATGCTTTTGGCTTTTGTGTCCATTGACAGTTATTTTTTTCGTTCTTTGTCCATATTAGTCACGTTTAGCATACCATGAATCAAATGGTTATCTGCTTGCATATTATTAGTTGTCTTCCCTAAACCCACATCATTTTCTCTACAGGGTGGGATATACACTCTTCCTAGTCATTTGTCACCTGGTGCAAGAGACTTGATACCAAGGATGCTTGTAGTTGATCCAATGAAAAGAATGACCATCCCTGAGATTCGTCAGCATGCGTGGTTCCAGGCTCATCTTCCTCGTTATTTAGCTGTTCCTCCACCAGACACAATGCAACAAGCAAAAAAGGTTTGTTTGTTTTTTCTTTTTGGTTTTGTGAATTGGAGTCATAATGTCTGTTCTACTTTGCTTTTCCTCAATGTGCAAAGTGATATGTGTCATCGTCTTTAAATAGAATAGAGAAATGTTACTGTAATTTAGTTTGTGCAACAAAAAGTTGACATATCAGCTGATCCTTGCTTAATGCATATCCTTTTCTGTTTTGGCTGCATCACATACTGGTGTACACCTATTATCATAAGTTCTTCATGTGTCACCTTGCATTTTGCAGATTGATGAGGAAATTCTTCAGGAGGTGGTTAAGATGGGATTTGACAGGAACCTTTTAGTTGAATCCCTTCGTGGCAGAGTACAAAATGAGGTTTGCTTCTTTGGACCTTATTCTCCTTCTGATTTTCCAATAAAGTCTAATTACCTGTTCCATGTTTCAGGGAACTGTTGCATACTATTTGTTATTGGACAACCGTTTCCGTGTATCCAGTGCCCCCCCTCCTCCTCCTCCTCCTCCTCCTCCTCTTCTCTTTTGATGTTGTAGCAACAACTTGGTTAGAAAATAAACTGTCCTCTTTGAAAACCAAAGACTAGGCCTGTCGGCCATACTCTAACAAGATAAAAGTTGTTGTGGCCCATTTATCAGCCAAAAGGAAACTAGGAGAAACTTGTACTTCGTCTGAAACAGGATCCACTCTGGAGATATCCAACTTAAAGTAGTTGAGGAATATGATAGATTTGTGAATGGACATAATTTGTACCAAGATTTACAAAACATGATTGGGGAAAATGTTTTCAATGCTTGAACTGTTTGTATCAAGCTCATTATTTTCTTCTTTTCTGTGCATATTTGTATTAAGGTCGGGCACCAATTGGATTTAAGTTTTTTTTTTTCTCCTTTTCTTTCAAATTCGTTTTTTGGGTCCAGGAATGTGGTTTCAACCGTATGCATCAAAGCGAGGCTGCTGCTTCACCTGTTGGGCACCGCCTTCCAGGATATATGGAATATCAAGGAATGGGTTTCAGACCACAGTTCCCTGTTGAAAGGAAATGGGCTCTTGGGCTTCAGGTTAAATTTCTCTGACTTCATGTTATTATTTGGGAATAGGACATAAAAAGATAATATATTCTGCTGTGTTAGAAGATAGTTGGGTAAACATATCGAATTGGTTGGTATGTTGAAACAGTCAATGCTTGTGACGTCTAGGAATTTGTTTTGAGCTCACTAAGTGTGCTGGTCCTTCTGGACATGTACAGTAGTGGTAGGTTGAATGGAGTGAACATCAAACATTCAATTTATGATTGTTGATCCTTTCATTGGCAGTCTCGAGCGCATCCTCGTGAAATAATGACAGAAGTCCTTAAAGCTTTACAAGAATTGCGGGTTTGTTGGAAGAAGATAGGGCACTACAACATGAAGTGTAGGTGGGTTCCTGGAACTCCTGGTCATCATGAAGGCATGGTTGACAATTCATTGCACAGTAACCATTATTTTGGCGATGAATCCAGCATCATTGAAAATGACGGTGTCATGAAGACGACAAATGTGGTCAAGTTTGAAGTGCAGGTAACCGTTACTTTATGTAATTCTGTTTGGTCAAGTTTGCATATTGAAAATAGTTGCCTTTTTCAGATCATCTTGTCTCGAGTATCTTTCCAGAACATAATTCTAATACATACATTCTACTGCTGTTTTGGGGTCTTAAACAGCTCTTCAAAACTCGGGAGGAGAAGTATCTGCTTGATCTTCAGAGGGTTCAGGGCCCCCAGTTTCTCTTCTTGGATCTTTGTGCTGCTTTCCTTGCACAACTTCGTGTCCTTTAAAGCTAGAGCGCCAAGTCTCCCCAACAAAGTCCTTTGTGAATCTGTCGTGATGCTTGTGAAAAAAAAATGAAAAAAATAACTTGTACCGTGTATATATTAATCTGTCTTTGGGCCACTTTTTACTATTTCTCATCTTATCCCCAGTTTTATATGGGTTTGTAGCTCTTCTTGTATTGAGCCAGTATTCCACACTGGCATTGGCCACGGTCATTTCTAGTTTTGGTTTTGAAGTGGTCTGTTCTGTCCTGGATTTTGCACGTTAAACCAACACGCAAATCTGTGTGAAAGAACTAACCTCTCTTTGGAGCATGCCCTATCTAATGCAAATTTTCCTTTTCATATTTAGCCAAAATTCATTGATGGGACTTACTTTATGATGTTGTTAATCACATGCATGCTGAA